ACAATTTTTTACATACATCACTAAAAATTGACAATTAGTGACTTCTTTTTATCATGATTTTTATAAATTGTCGCTAAAACTTACAATTAGTGACTTTTTATGACAAATTTTTTTCCATAGAACCTATTGGACAATAAGTTCACTTATTAGGATCTACACGTAAGTACCCTTTGTATTTAAAGCACCAGATCTATGTCTATCTAAAGCAATGTGACAATATACAAGAGCAAAAAAAATGAAATTACATGAACTAAAGATTAAAACTTTGTGACATGAAAAAAAAAATTCAAAAGTTTCTCAGTGGCATTACCTCAAACAGAAAGAGAGCAAATGTATAAGCAGTAGATTGAAATGGGTATTTGTATGAAGCTGAGAGAGAGAGAGAGAGAGAGAGAGAGAGAGAGAGAGACAGAGACACTTGGGGTCAGGAATTACACTCCTCGTCCGATCCCTGAAGGTATAAAATTCTCCATCCCCACCCTTGATCCCCGATATGGAACCCATCACCCTTCCGCCACTGCCTTCACCCCATAACGGGGATCGGGTTTCCCCGACTCCAAAAAATCTCCAACCTTTTTTTTTGTTTTTTTTTTTTGAATTTTGCATATCCCATTTTTTTTAAGGCAAATAAAAATAATATATATAAAAACATAATCAAATAGTGTCCAAACATAATATTAGTTAAGTTAACTTCTAAATCAATAAGTATCTCTTAAACAATAGGTAGTTTTCAGTGCAACAAGATTTCTAATTCCCAAATCCACAATACCCCAAATTTTACCAAAACAAACCCTTAAATTTCCCAAATGTTGCAGACCCAAATCCCCAAAACTAAAGCCCAAAACGCCAATAGGTTCTAATAGTTTGACTTAATTCCCATCAAGTCTTATTGAAAATAAGTCTTGGTAAAATTGTTGCTAAAAATAATTTTTTTGTGACAATTTTTTACATATATCACTAAAAATTGACAATTAGTGACTTCTTTTTATTATGATTTTTATAAATTGTCGCTAAAACTGACAATTAGTGACTTTTTATGACAAATTTTTTCCATATAACCTATTGGACAATAAGTTCACTTATTAGGATCTACATGTAAGTACCCTTTGTATTTAAAGCACCAGATCTATGTCTATCTAAAGCAATGTGACAATATACAAGAGCAAAAAAAATGAAATTACATGAACTAAAGATTAAAACTTTGTGACATGAAAAAAAAAATTCAAAAGTTTCTCAGTGGCATTACCTCAAACAGAAAGAGAGCAAATGTATAAGCAGTAGATTGAAATGGGTATTTGTATGAAGCTGAGAGAGAGAGAGAGAGAGAGAGAGAGAGAGAGAGAGACAGAGACACTGATAAGGATGAAGGCAGGACCAACAACAACAGTAGCCGTGAGAGAGGAGAGAGAAAGGCGAGCCGTCGTAACCGTAAGCATAGTTGTCAAATTAGGATTCGAATCGAATCGTAAATCGTAAAAAATTCAATTACATTTTCTAAATTACTTAAAAACATATATCTACATATTTAGATGTCAAATATATCTTATGAATATAAAATATTTAAATTTAAATCAATAAAAATGTTATTTTGAATGATAATCACGTAATAGGTAAAAAGTTAACAAAGGTTCTTATGTAAGATCACCATCTTACATTTTTTTTTTTTTTTTTAGATATTTCTTATCAATTATTCTTAATAAAGATAATAATCAAATAAACAAACTATCAATTTCCAAACTAACAATAATTAGCAATGATATTGATATTTGGACAATAAACATATATACTTTTCTAAGTAACAGTGATAAAATAATAAGAAAGAATTATTTAAAATATTTTATTTTAAAGCCTAAAATATTTTAAAATGTATCACTGACCTCACACATGTAATATTCAATTTAATAAAAGAGCAATAGATAATTTACAGTCTAACTTTAATCATAAACATCTTTAGAAGATATATTATGATTTTTAAAGGGAAAAAAATGAGAAGAGGGGTTAAAAATATGTTGGGTCTAACTGAATCTAATTGGATCCTATTAAAAACTCCATGATCACTAAAATAACAACAAATCATATATATATGTTGGTTATTTTGGTATTAAACGTTATTAAAAGTTGTATTATGTCATTCTCACTAAAAAGATGGAGAAAAAAAGAGTCAAAAAGATGTCGAACACAATATAGTTTTAAAAACTGCATGAATTGTAAAAAGTGAATCGAATCGTGATCGATTGTGAATCATGCAATTCACTAGAGATTCACTTCTAAAATAGATTCACTCATAAATTCGTATCGATTTTGCAAAAATCGCGAATCGTAAGATTCTGATAACAGAGACCGTAAGAGAGAGAGAGAGCCAGTGAGGGAGAAGGGAGATGTCGATGAGGGAGGAGCGATGTCGGCGGTGAGGGAAGACCAAGCGACGGTGGTGAGAGAGGAGCAAGTGACGGCGGCAACGCAAACACAGACGAGAGAAGAGAGAGAATGTGATGTGAACCTAAACTAAATCCCTACAATGAGTCAGTAATAGAGGGGTATATAATATATATATATATAGGGGTATAATAATAATTTTAGTTCGAGGAGGAAACGAGGACGGGAACGAGGCCGGGCGGAGGAACCTACCACCATCCCTGCCCCAAAATTTGTTGGGGATTCATTTTCGAATACCATCTCCAATCCGTCGGGAGTATTTTTTTGGAAAAAATCCATTCTAATCAGGGTCAAAAGATCGAGTTCCCATCAAGTCGGGTTTAAATTACCATCCCAAAAGAATGGGTAAAGAAGGAAGAGAGAGAGAGAGAGAGCAAAAGTTAGAAGACAAAAGGAAGGAAGCAAGAGGGTGCGTGAAGAACAATTTCCACACATTTGTAATTAAAATTATATCATTCATTTCTCTTGTAATTATAAAAAAAAAAAATTCCACCGACTTATAATATAATTTTCTTACCCACACTGCTCCCCCCACTGATAAGTAATTGTCCCCTACTCTAAACCATTTCATTCAAAAAAAAATTCCCTGCTAGAATGGAAACACCTTTCAGAACCTTAGAAAGATAGCAACACATGTCTTTCGTAGAGAAACGTGTGCCATGACGGTTTCATCAGCTTTTACCTTTTGGCCCTTTATGATTTTCCTCTTCCACTGTCTTTCGTAGAGAAACGTGTGCCATGACGGTTTCATCAGCTTTTACCTTTTGGCCCTTTATGATTTTCCTCTTCCACTGCATGATAAAACTCCACTACCTGAATATTGTAACTCTCTTTGTCAATTCAAAACACAATCATCAATTCTTGTTTCTTGGAAAATGTTTTTGTAATTTGTTTGGGGAAATTATTGAAGCAGAAAAAAAAAATTATAAAAATATGGGATGCAATTTATTTTCTAAGGGGTATAAGTCAAAAACTATGAGATAGTTATGTCACACCCCAAGCTCCGTGACAACACCGCACACTCATTTAAGTGAGCATGCAAGGCTAAGAGTCCAATCACATAAACCAATAATGTAAAATACTCAAATTAAATCTTTAATTATCATAATGCCAAAATCCAGAAAATAAATAATTCTTATATGAAATTGTCCACCAAGTCCACTAAGTTAATCCACTAACAAAATAAAATCCAAGTACTTAAATCATAGTTCTACTCTCGTTACTCCCACAAGTAAAAACCTTGCGCAGCTCTACTCCTCAGAATCTGAAAAAAATAAATAAAAATAAATTCAAATAAAGGTAAGCTAGACAGCCCAATAAATAACCAACCATCACTGCTAGCTGGATCAAGTATACAAAAAAACATAGTCAATAACCAATAAATATATTTTTGCTACAATTCAATAAATAAACAATTATTTTGTAAGATGGTTTCATAGTTGAAAATAAACAATGTAGCAATACATTCTAATTGAAAAGATAATGAGATAATTCAAAGAAATTTCGTTGTCCAAATCGATGGTTCAATATTCAGATGGTTCAATGATGCGATTCACAAAACCCAAGTCTTGGTGACTACGGTCACTTAGCCCGTGACAAGGCCCAGAACCACACATAGGCCGGTGGTAAAGCCCCAAAAGAAATTAGTTTTGTGCCAATAAATAACCCCCATTGACTAGGGTCCAAATCGTAGTCAAACTAGAGTGATGTTCAAAATTCAAACAATACACAACTTTTAAATAAAATATTCGATATTTTCAGAATAAACCTTTGGTACAATTTTCAGACTAGTTTCACAAAATATTCAAATAATTTTCATAATAGTATTCGATGTTGTTTTATACTTGACCCATATTTTATTTTAAGAGAATGTGAAGGCTATAAATAAATATTTATAATTTGAAATGATTCAATAAGAATAAAAATGAACCAACAGTGATAGAGGGTTACTTACCTCAAACGCTTAAAAAAATAATATTTCCCAAGCTAATCTCAAATTACCAAGATCCACCTCAATCTCACAAATCTAATAAAATATTACACCACATAAACAATTATTATTGATCACCATAATGCATCCATCATTCTTTTCTTTATGATAAAAAAAGCTAATCCTATAGTCTATCAGTAATTCCCAAACCTCAGCACCGAAACAGAACCACTACGACTTGAACAATTTTTCAAAGCTTACATTATTCTATTGTTGTTTATAAACATATATAAGTTTTTAATTACTACCAGCCAAACTTGTATCCCAAAATTACACCACCATTAATCTTAACTTATCACATATCAATCCCAAAATATGACACTCTAAAGTCAGGCAAACCGACACGAGGCTTTGTTTTCTTTTTTTTTTTTTTCTTTTGTTTTTCTTCTTTTACATAAAGGGTTATTAACCTAATATCTTAAAATTACTAAATTACCAATACAAATTAATTTTACTACTACTTTATCCAAAAATAATTCTACATATAACTTGGGTTTTACATTCTTCCATCCTTAAAAGAAATTTCATCTTCGAAATTTGACATACCTGGAGTCTCAAAAGGTTGTGGATACTTTTATCTCATTTCATCCTCGAGTTCCCAAGTTGCTTCTCTTTCTGAGTGATTGCTCCATTGAACCTTAACATAGCGGATGACTCGACGCCTCAAAACCTGTTCCTTCTGATCAACAATTTGTATAGGGCGTTCCTCATAGGTCAAATCCTTCTTAAACTGCAACAGTGCATGATCAATCACATGACTAGGATTTGGTATATACTTCCTTAACATTGAGACATGAAAAACATTATGAACTCCAGCTAGTGAAGGTGGTAGAGCAAGTCTGTAAGCTACCTCTCCAATTCGATCTAAAACCTCAAATAGTCCAACAAATCTAGGACTCAGTTTACCACGAACACCAAACCTTATTACTCCTTTCATAGGAGACACCTTAAAGAACACATGGTCTCTAACCCCAAACACCAAATCGCGTCTCCTGTTATCTGCATAACTTTTTTGTCTATTCTGTGCAGTGCGAAGTCGCTCTCTAATAAGATTGATCTTGTCCACTGTTTGTCGCACAATCTCAGGCCCTAACAACTTCTTTTCGCCCACATCATCCCACAATCGGTGATCTACGCTTCCATCCATATAAAGCCTCATATGGTGCCATCTGAATGCTCGCATGATAACTATTATTATAAGAGAATTCCACTAAGGCCAAATGCTCATCCCAAGAACCTCCAAGATCAATAACACAAGCCCTCAACATGTCTTCAAGAGTCTGAATAGTTCTCTCTGAGTGTCCATCAGTTTGAGGTGAAAGGTCGTGCTAAATTTCAAACTAGTACCCAAAGCTGTATGCAACCTCCTCCAAAACATAGATACAAATTTGTTATCTCTGTCAGGCACTATGGTCACCAGAATACCATGCAACTTCACAATCTCCTTGATATACAATTTTACAAACCTCTCTAAGGAGAACCCCACCTTAAAAGCTAGAAAGTGGGCGGATTTTGTCAATCGATCAACGATAACCCAAATAGCATTGTTACCACCATGGGTTCTAGGCAACCTTGTCACAAAATCCACGGTAATATGTTCCCACTTCCACTCGGGAATAGGAAGAGGTTGTAACTTACCTGTAGGTCTCTAATGTTCAACTTTCACTTGTTGACATACCAAGCATTGAGCAACATATTGAGCAATTTCCGTCTTCATATTATTCCACCAAAAGTTTCTTTTCAAGTCTTTATACATTTTAGTGTTCCCTGGATGTACAGTATACCTCGAGGTATGAGCTTCTCTTAGGATTTCTCTCTTGAGCTCTAAATCATTAGGTACACACAACCTCTCTCTAAATCTCAAGGTTCCATCTTCATGCATACAAAATTCCATCTGTAACCCTATTTTCATTTCATCCTCAAGTTTTTGCAACTGAGGGTCTCTTCCATGAGCAGCTTTAATTCTATCAATCAATGTGGGTTAAACTCTAAGGTTTGCCAACTGCACTCCATGGTTATGCCATCTAATCTTAATATTCAACCTCCGCAAGTCCTCCAAGATATTCTTTTGGTCAACGATCAAGGTAGCGAAATTACTCAGGGTTTTTCTACTCAAGGCATCCGCCACTGCATTGGCTTTTCCCGGGGTGATAATTAATAGTTAAATCATAGTCTTTTAATAGCTCCAACCATCGCCTTTGCCTCATATTCAATTCTTTTTGAGTGAAAATATACTTCAGACTTTTGTGATCAGTGAATATCTCACATTTTACCCCATACAAGTAGTGCCTCCAAATTTTCAGTGCAACCACCACAACAGCCAACTCCAAATCATGCGTAGGGTAATTTTGCTCATATGGCTTCAACTGCCTAGACGCATATGCCACTACCTTATCATTCTACATCATGACGCAACCCAAGCCCATCTTCGACGCATCATTATAGATGGTAAAACCTTCATCCCCGGACGGAACTATAAGTATTGGAGCAGACACCAATCGACTCTTTAGATCCTAAAAACTCTTCTCACAATCATCACACCACTCAAATTTAATCCCTTTGTGTGTTAAACAAGTCAAAGGCATAGAAATTCAGAAAAATCCCTCAATAAACCTTCTATAATATCCTGCTAAACCCAAGAAGCTATGAATTTCAGTGACACTAGTAGGCCTATTCCACTCTACCACAGCCTCTACTTTCTTGGGGTCAACAGACACCCCGTCATTAGATATCACATGACCTAAAAATGATACACTCTCTAGCCAAAATTCACACTTATTTAATTTAGCAAATAATTTATTCTCCTTTAATATCTGCAACACTATTCTCAGATGTTCTTCATGCTGCTCTTTACTCTTCGAGTACACAAGAATGCCATCAATAAAAACTACCACAAACTGATCTAAGAAGGGTTTAAATACTTTGTTCATTAAATCCATAAAAGCTGCAGGCGCATTGGTCAACCCAAACGGCATCACTAAAAATTCATAATGCCCATACCTAGTTCGGAAGGCTGTCTTAGGTATATCTTCTGCCTTAACCTTCAACTAAAGCGAATTTGCTCCTTGCAACTGATCAAACAGGTCATCTATTCTGGGCAAAGGATATTTATTTCGAATTGTTACCTTGTTTAGCTCTCGATAATCAATGCAAAGGCAAAAACTACCATCCTTCTTTTTCACAAATAAAACGAGCGCACCCCAAGGAGAAACACTAGGCCTAATAAAGCCTTTATCTAGTAACTCTTGTAACAGTTCCTTCAACTCTTTCAACTCTGCTGGGGCCATCCGATATGGAGCCTTGGAGATAGGACCCGTACTAGGTATCAATTCGATAGCAAACTCAATCTCTCTATCTGGTGGCAACCCCGGTAACTCTTCCGGAAAAACGTCGAGAAATTCTTTCACAACTAGAATATCATCTAACTTCAATTTAGTCTCATGGGTATCTCTCACAGAAGCTAAATAGCCCTCGCAACCATTCCTTAACAACTGTCTAGCTTGCAGAGCTGAGATTACTAGAGGAGGAGTGTTAACTCTACTACCCACAAAGCAAAATTCTGGTTGATCAGGAATCTGAAACACTACCCTTTTTCCTCGGTAATCAACAGAAGCATAATTGGTTGCCAACCAATCCATTCCAAGAATTATGTCAAAGTCCCGCATATCTAAAACAGTCAAGTCTACAAGCAACCTCTTGTCATCTATACTAACCACACGAGATTTGTAAATTAAGTCAGCAACCATAACACCTCCCACACATAAGTCGATCTCTCTAGAGACACATTTCGATCCATGTTTCTCAACAAATCCCATAGACACAAATGAATTTGTAGCGCCAGAATCAAATAACACATGTGCATGAACAGAAAACACTAAAACAGTACCTAACACCACCGTGTTTGAAGTCTGAACATCTTGTTGCGTGAGTGCGTACACTCGACCCTGAGTCTTTGGCTTATGACCTCCATTTTTCTTTTGATTTCCTGAACTCCCTTTGTCTGTTGATGCTCTTTTATTTGTTCATGTTTTCTGTTCAGTCTTACGCCCCTTCTAATTAGGGCAATCAGCTATCATGTGCCCTTGTTGCCCACAGGAGAAATAAGCCCCAGTATTCCAACAACACTCACTATCCCGATGGAACCCATTACATCTAGTGCACTGTACTCAATCATTCTGCTTGTCAACACTACCACCCACCATTCGACTTCCCCAACTCACAACTGAAGAAGTGATTTGTCTCTTAGCATTGCCCTTCGAACTGTTGTTAGTTTGAAAGTTGGAAGAACTAGGTTTCTTCTTATAATTCTCTTCTTTCTCTTCTTGGGCTTTAGTGAGGCCCTTCTCAACCAACAATGCCTTATTCAACACTGCTCCAAAAGTAGGTAACTCGAAAGGAACCACCTATTGCATAATGTTCGTTCTTAGCCCACCTTCGAACTTTTGTGCTCTGCTATCCTTATCTGCTTCAAATACTGGTGCAAATTTAGACAACTTTGTAAACTCGGCTTCATATTCTGCAATCGTCTTATTCCCTTGCTCCAACATTGAAAATTCCCTATGTTTTTGTAGACGAACACTCCTAGGGAAGTATTTCTCATTGAATGCATTCTTAAACCTTTCCCATGTATAGGGGTTGACATCATGCTCATGTATGCGCTTCTCCATCTGCCACCAATCATTAGTTATCCCTTGTAGCATAAACGTAGCATAGGTCACCTTCTGATTATCTGTACAATCAAAAACGAGAAACAACTTTTCCATTTCTGTTAACCATTTTTCAGCCTCCAAAGGGTCTGTGGCTCCGTCAAATGCTAAGGCTATCTTCTTAAACTCAGTAATGTTACCACGTGGTCTCGATTTTGGCCCAACACCTGGCTGCATCCATTGTTGTTGCTCCATAAGTCTAGTCAAGTTATTCCCTATGATGGTTTGTTGTTGCACTACCCCGGCCAAAGTCTGAAGCACTTGAACCATTCCAATTGGATTGGGGATTGCAGCTTGTTCTTGTTGTGTAACAACCCCAAACCCTAATTAACATTAATCCATGGTTAATTATGCTTAATTGGTAATTAGGACGAAATTCTGAATTAAATTACATGTGTGTATTGCACAAGTATGTCTATATCTGTTTAACGTAGGAAAATATGTTTATGTTTTCCTTTCGGTTTGCAAATTGAAGGCCTTATCGGCATCTGAATCAAAAATTGGTTTAATTTACGTGTTAATTAGGATTTTTAGAATTTTATGGTAGGCTTAATTGAAATTTGATTTGGAACGATTAAATTAGATTAAACTAATGTCCACTAATTAGCCTTAATTAAACACGCTTTTGTTTAATGGCCTAATTAAGGCCTTAGTGGCCTCATTGATCACATACATTCTCCCACTCACTCCTTTCTTCATCTATGTGCATCATTGAGCTCTCAAGACCCAAAAAACATGAGAGAGAGTGAGAGAATGGAGAATTGGTTCAAGACTTGAGAATTTGGGCTCAAATCAAGGGATTGCTAGGAATTGTTGCCATTTGAAGAAAATTTAAGAATTTTAACTTCACCTCTTGGGAATTCAATCCCCTAGGTAAGAAATTGAACTCTTCATTGAATAATTGAGTTGGATTCTACAAGATTATTGGTGAATTAAGTGAATTCATGAAGGAATTGCATTAGAATTGAGATGAATTAGGCCATACCATACATGCATGTGCATTTCTTTACAAATTGGGCATGATTTCAAAGGATTCTTTCATGCATATGTTTATCTCATCTATGTTTTTGAGAGTTCATCATGTTTTCTAGCAATTTGCCAAATTTGATTTAGTTTTAAAGTGCTTGAATTCAAGGGAGTTCATGCATGTTACACTTATGAGTTATCCATAAAATTTATGTTATAACTTTATGAAAAAAGGCCAAACTCTTGGGCCATAATTTTGTGAAATAATCGTCAATTCATCATGTTTTACAAGTTTACTATGTTATCTCTAATTTTGGGGCCCAAGAGATGTGTTTTGAAGAGTTGAATTCGTGTTTCGAAGATTGGAAGCAAATCTGGAAAACCCAGAATTCTGCTTCCTCGCTCGAGCGACCAACTTTATTTCATACTTCCACTCGAGCGACAAAAAGGTTGGCTCGAGCGTAAATTGCATGCTTTCAGGTGTGTGTGCGTCTGGAAGCACGCTCAAGCGAAGGATTGTGTCTCACGCTCGAGCGAGCGTCGAGTGACCGTCGAGCGAAGATTTCATGCATCCAGAACTTTTCACATTTTGCAGACCGCTCGAGCGAAGGAGTGTGCGCTCGAGCGACAACTCATATTCGGTAAGCTCACTCGAGCGAAGAAGTCTACGCTCGAGCGAGACCCTTATTTTCAACAAGTTTTGAAAAATATTTTCAAGTGCATTTGGACATCCTCATTCCATCCTAGGCACTCCTGGGCCATGCTTAAGACACCATAATGTGGTTATAGGCTAGAAACACACTAAGCATAAGCGAAATAAGTTATGTACAATCTGAGCGTGTGCATTCAACATATGAATCTACCATGTTATATAGGTCACGCGCCTCAGAATAAGTGAATTTCTTACATTGCCATCAAGTTGGGGCTACCAATTATTTGTGAGTAATAACTTAGTAAAGTTATGTTCAAGTAAATTATTTTCTGCTTACGGAGGAACTATTTTATGAAATGTTATGTTTTATGCTATGAATGATTGTCCAAGTCTAACAAGCAATTATGACATAATACTATGATTCAAGTATATGCAAGTTCCTGATCCGGACTGACAAGCCATCTATGCTCGGCAAGAGGTTCTTTAGTGGAACTGACAAGTTTACAAGTTCCCAGTCCAGAGGTCCCTTCATGGGACTGACAAGTTATTCTTACCCGGCCTGAGGTTCTTATATAGAACTGACAAGTATGATTTAAGATATTGTATGTGTGATCTATCAGCGCTGATGGATGTATTATGTAAGACTAAGCATGAACTCTGAATTCTATATATACTCAGAATAAGAATATGAATATGAGTTTCAATTTCAGCCGTAGTTAGGAGACATCATTCATTAAAGTCTTTACTATGTTATTATTCACTGGGCTTTAGCTCACTATTTATATTATATATGTAGGTGAGTAGGCACGTGACCAGGCCCAGAGTTGATGGCCTATGTTTCAGTTTTGTCAGCCAACCTTCGTGCCTCAAGAGGAGGTTCCAGATCAAGTCATGCTTAGTGGCTGTGTCCATATGAATGTATAAGAATGGTCTTTTTGCTCTATGAACAAGTTCAACTTTTTATATGTGCCTGATAGTGACATGTAAACACTGCACCTATGATGTCACTTATTTGTATATAAATTTTTAAGGTCTTCAGTTCCATGTACGTTTTCACAGCTCAATGGACTGTATATATTCTATATTTTGCTTCCGTAGCCCCTAGCTATATGTCTTTATGTCAAGAGGTCTTTGGTAATCCAAGGATTACTGGCCGGTTACGACGCTAAACCTATGGGGGGGCGGGTTTGGATAGTGACATGTTGTCCAAACTCTTGCCCCTAATTTCCTCCGACTGCTTGAGAACCACTACCATTATTAGTCACATTCCCTCGCCGATTGTTATTACCAGTCCGTTGATTCGTTTGACCCTAGCGTGTATTCCTAGCCATATTTGCCAATGTGTCATCATGTTCCATTGCAACCTATATGCATCAATAATAAAACCTCATCTTATTCTATTCTCAAGTCCCTATAACATGTAAATAAAATTAACATTATACCAAATTATAAGCGTTCCCAACCCTACATCTATCCAATCTCACCATTATTCTATACCAGCCTTTAAAATTACAACTTGGCTCTGATACCACAAAATTGTCACACCCCAAGCTCCGTGACAACGCTGCACACTCATTTAAGTGAGTATGCAAGGCTAAGAGTCCAATCACATAAACCAATAATGTAAAATACTCAAATTAAATCTTTAATTATCATAATGCCAAAATCCATAAAAATAAATAATTCTTATATGAAATTGTCCACCAAGTCCACTAATTTAATCCACTAACAAAATAATAATCCAAGTACTTAAATTATAGTTCTACTCTCGTTACTCCCACAAGTAAAAACCCCGCGCAGCTCTACTCCTCAGAATCTGAAGAAAAAAAAATTCAAATAAGGGTAAGTTAAACAGCCCAGTAAATAACCAACCATCACTGCTTGTTGGATCAAGTATACAAAAAAAAAAAAAAAATAGTCGATAACCAATAAATATATTTTTGCTACAATTCAATAAATAAACAATTATTTTGTAAGATGGTTTTATAGTTGAAAATAAACAATATAGCAATACATTCTAATTGAAAAGACAATGAGATAATTCGAAGAAATTTCGTTGTCCAAATCGATGGTTCAATATTCAGATGGTTCAATAATGCGATTCACAAAACCCAAGTCTTGGTAACTACGGTCACTTAGCCCAAGACAAGGCCCAGAACCACACATAGGCCGGTGGTAAAGCCCCAAAAGAAATTAGTTCTGTGCCAATAAATAACTCCCGTTGGCTAGGGTCCAAATCATAGTCAGACTAGAGTGATATTTAAATAAAATATTCAAATAAAATATTCGAACAATAAAGAACTTTTAAATAAAATATTCGATATTTTCAGAATAAATCTTTGGTACAATTTTTAGACTAGTTTCACAAAATATTCAAATAATTTTCATAATAGTATTCGATGTTGTTTTATACTTGACCCATATTTTATTTTAAGAGAACATGAACGTTATAAATAAATATTTATAATTTTAAACGATTCAATAGGAATAA